GCATAGTATTAATGGGGGTTTGGGGTTGGGAGTTTTTGGCCTTAGAGGCATGATTTCTCATGTCGATTTTAGCTTAATTTTGGGGTCTGTAAAATCTAAACAAATTTCTAGGGATACTGTGTAGTGGGTTGAAAGTGTGCTTTTTGTGGGTTGTACTCCAAGGGGCTGTCACCTCTCAAGTCATCTCAAACCCTCTTATGTGTCTTGGTTTCTCTCCTCGGCTATCTAATACAACTGTGAGGACTTGGAGCGCCAGGTAACCAACATTTATTTACGTGTCTCTGGACAAGTGGATTATTTAACTACAGGTGAGTTGGAATTCCCTGAGGGCTCTTGCAGTTCTTGAGGCATACCCTCTGACACCTCCACAGAGATTCTTAGTCTCCTAAGAATGCCTGAGATTCAAACTTGAGGGAGGAAATGTTCCTTATTTTTGGTGCTGTAGGAGTTTAGGCTCTATTTATACAGTAAAGGGTTTTGTTAGACCCTCGGAAAGCAATTCCAGTTGAAAAATCAAAATTAAAAACCAGCCATCTATTTTTTTCTTCTGTTCTTAATTATCTTGACTCTTATCTATAGCCTAGGTTCTCTCAGGCCTTGACCTCAAGGATTAAAATAAAATAAAATAAATAAAAAGAAGCTGGAAGAAAGTCAGCCTGAATTCAACTCCAGACATAAAGAAAGGAAGAACGCCCTGGCCAGTTTGGCCCAGCAGTTGGAGCGTCGGCCTGCAGTCCAGAGAGACCAGGGTTCGGTTCCCGCTAAGGGCGCATACCTCGGTTGCGGTTTGTTCCAGGCTCTGGTTGGTCGTGTGGGTGGAAGCCACTCGATGTGTCCCTTTCACATCGATGTTTCTCTCTTTCATCCTCTCCCTCCCTCCCACTCTATCTGGACAAAAAATGGAAAAATGGAAAAATGTCCTCGGGTGAGGATAAAAAAAAAAAAAAAAGACAAGACAAGAGAAGAAAAGAACATCTTTCCAGCCAAAAGGCAAGGACCTCTCTCTCTGTGGGAACTAGTAACCTGACAGGGGAGAGCCACGGGGAAGGACCTTGTGTGATTTTATAGTGTTCTTGGGTGCATGGACATTGTCTTGCAGTTGGTGGGGTGCCTAGTGCAAATTTCCCTGGTCCATGATCGACTCACCCCATCAGGGGTCTTCAAGCAGCAAGCAACCTGATGGCTCTTGAGTGCTTGGCCTGGGCCTGCACAGTGTGGCAATCTGCAGAGAGAGAGAGAACCCTTGGCTGGTGAAAGACGCAAGAAGGAAGAAAACGCAGTTAGTCAGGTCCTTCAAGCCAAGGCGGCGAGGAAAACCAGCTTACCAGGGACGAAACAATCTGAGTCATGGCACCAAAGATGTTACCTGCGAAGTTGAAAATTACAGAGGCAAAAGAAGGGCCCTTTGCAGCTTAGGAGAGGGAAAGGCAAGGGTAATGTGCCTGGGATGGAGGGGAGAAGAAGGGAAAGGGAAAGGTACAGACATGCTCCAGGGCCACCACCTGGAGGTCCCATCTGGGGTGCCAGAAAATGTTATTAGAAAGGGGACCTGGCCCTGAGTGGGTCTGCCTAGGGCTGGCCAGTAGTGTGCAGGGTTTTTATTTTGTTCAGGAAAGATTTCACAAGAGTCCAGGTGATTTTGAAAGGACATTGATTAAAACTGGGGACAGCCCTGGCCAGTTTGGCTCAGTGGTTGAGCGTCGGCCTGCAGACCAGAGAGTCCCGGGTTCGGTTCCTGCTGGGGGCACGTACCACACACACACACACACTGGGGACAGTGACAGTGAAACAAGGAAGGGCCTAGGATAGAAGAAGCAACTGGAGCCTGGCCGGTTTGGCTCAGCGGTTAGAGCGTCGGCCTGCGGTCCTGAGAGACCCGGGTTCGGTTCCCGCTAAGGGCGCGTGCCTCGGTTGCAGTTTGTCCCCGGCCCTGGTTGGTCGTGCGGGTGGCAGCCACTCGATGTGTCCCTTTCACGTCGATGTTTCTCTCTCTCTCTCTCTGTTCCTCTATCTCCCTCCCGCTCTACCTGAACAAAAAAAAAAAAATGGAAAAATGTCCTCGGGTGAGGATTAAAAAAAAAAAAAAAAAAAAAGAAGAAGCAACTGGAGAGGGAGTAGGTGGGAAACTGAGCCCAGGCGGGGCTGCTTTGGCTCATTAAGAAGCCAGAGAAAAGCGAGCCTTGAGGACAGGGTCCGGGGGTTATACCAGGACGAGCTGCCACTGCCCATTGCTCCAGGGTTGCAAGCCTTGTGGGGGGTCCCTTGAGTTAGGAGATGCTGACTGTGGGGGAAGAGACAGAGAAAGGAAAGGCACAGGCATGATCCTGGGAGGTAGAGAGGGTGCTTCAACTTAGTTTTGAGGGGTTTAAGGGAGGTCTTAGGGGAGGGTCTCAATAGAATATTTATGTTTTATGCCTATGTGCTAAAATGAGATTTACTCCCTTAACTTCATCAGTCCTTGTGTGTGGTTGGCTAATGGCACTAATTGGATTTCTGTTCTGTCTCCCTGAGTAGGGTGATTTAAGCTATTTATCTATCCTCTGGTTGGGGAGCGTGCAAACCATTTACTCCCAAGTGTCCTTGCTTTAGGGAAGACAGGATTTTGCAATTTGTTTGTTTCAATTTCCCTATTCTGCTTGTCCTGTCTTACTGGCCTGTCTTATTAGGAGAGTGGGTTCTGAAGGCTATGAGAGAGAAGTCTATTCTGTGCCTCTCCTCTAGCTTCTGGTGGTAATCTTTGGCATTTAACTTGTAGACACATCAACCCTCTTTGCCTTCGTGTTCACATGTTCTTCGTGGTATGCAGGTCTGTGTCCATTTATTTATTTAATTCCTAGATAGAGTGGGAGAGCGGGGGGAGGAGAGAGAGAAACATTGATGTGAAATTGGTTGCCTCCTGCACACCCTGACCAGGGCCAAGGATTGAACCCGAGACCCTTTGGTTCTCGGTCTGACACCCTAATTGCTGAGCCAAACCGGCCAGGCCTTGGGCCTAGTTGTGGTTTTTTTGTTTGTTTGTTTGTTTGTTTGTTTTATGAGAGCTATCTAAATCTAATGGCTTGTTTAAAAAAATTTTTTTTTCTTTATTGATATTAGAGAGCAAGGAAGGGAGAGGGAGAAAGAGATAGAAACATCGATGAGAGAGAACATAGATAGGCTGCCTCCTGCATGCCCCCCACTGGGGATCTGGCCCACAACCTGGACATGTGCCCTGACTGGGAACCAAACCAGTGACTTCCTGGTGCATGGGTCGACGCTCAACCACTGAGCCACACCAGCCGGGCATCTTTGTTTGATTAATATAACACAACTGATAAATGATTAGTTTGGACTCTGATCCAGGTATTTAGACTCATAATGTGAATCCCTGTGGAGGCAGCAAACAATAGTATGAGTTGACTCTAAACAAAATTGTAACAAAATTGTATTGTTTGGGGTTAACAAAATCTACTCAAGTAAACAAGGTCTTCCTGTTAAGGTCAAAATAAAGTTTAGGCCCTGGCCGGTTTGGCTCAGCGGTTAGAGCGTCGGCCGTGGTCCAGAGAGACCTGGGTTTGGTTCCCCCTAAGGGCACTTACCTCGGTTGGAGTTTGTCTCCAAAGCCCTGGAGGCAGCCACTCAATGTGTTCCTTTCACATCGATGTTTCTCTCTCTCTCTCTCTCTCTTCCTCTCTTTCCCTCCCACTCTGTCTGAGCAAAAAAGGAAAAATGTCCTCAGGTGAGGATTAAAAAAAAAAGAAATGAAGTTTAAGTAAGGGACCCTAAAGGCTCCAGGTACGAGTCCACCACCACCACACATGCCACTTCCTCTGCTGTCTGCCCAGTCCCAGGGGCCCCAGGTCTCCACAGGGTCTTCGATTTCCCTCAGGTCAGTGCCTGGGGAACAGGGTCCAGAAAAAGCCTTCAACTCTTACTCTAAAACAACCTCTTAGAGAACATTTTCCACTGGTGACTCAGACCAGGACCCCCACAGAAAAATCTCACTCTTCCTTATTATTTCCCCAACTGGTAAGTCCCAATCGTACCCTGCTGCCCAGTCAGGTCTTCCTTCTTCTTTATTTCTATTTATAAACCTCACTCGGGCTCCTGCAGCTCTCACTCCCACCAGCCACAGGTGAGTCCCACCAGGCAGGCTCTCCTTCCCACAAGCCCGCTGATGCCTTTCCCACCCACCTCTCCTTCCCCTACAGGTGTGCGTCTCCTAAATTCAAAGGGTCCCCAAAATACTTGCGACCAGGGGAGCAATGGGCAGTGGCAGCTCATCCCAAGCTGAACCTATAGCCAAAGCCCCCTTTTCTCTGACTTCCCAGTGAGCCAAAGCAGCCCAGCCTCGGCTCTCCAGTTGCTTCTTCTATCCTAAACCCTTCATTGTTTCACTGTTCCCAGCCGTAATAAACAGTTTCAAAAGAAAGAGTCCCACCCCACCCCTGACCACCTGCTGTTTTTTTTTTTTAATCCTCACCCGAGGATATTTTTTCAAATATCTTCACATAGAGTGGGAGGGGGAAGAGGGGGAGAGAGAAAGAGGGAGAGAGAGAAAGAGACATCGATGTGCGAGGGACACATCAATTGGTTGCCTTCCACATGACCCTGACCAGGGCCGGGGATGAACCACAACTGAGGCACACGCCCTTGGCTGGAATCAAACCTGAGACTCTTTGGTCCATGGGCCGATGCTCTAACCACTGAGCCAAAACAGCCAGGGCTACCCACTGTTAAGCTGGAATGGACTTTAGATCATTGACTGACAGCAGCTCACAGTAGCATACTAGATCATTAACATTGCATCAGATGATTATATGATTGTTCCAAAGGCTCAGAGGCTCTACTCTCCTGTCTCCCTTCTCCCTCCCTCCCTCCCTCCCTCCGGCTCTGTCTCTGTCTCTCAGGAATTAGGGCCAAGCCAGGCAGGTGAAGGATTTGCAGCCACCATGCCCCTTAATCCTGGCATTGCTGAGCAAAGGCTTGCATCCCAGCCTCCCAGACCCAGCCAGCTATCATACTGTGTAGGTTAGGATGGCAGAAGAGGAGGGTGATGTGAACGAGGAGGATGTGTTCCTGGCTTTTGCCCAGGGTCCTTCTCCTCCCAGAGGTCCCTTACGTCGGGCCTTGGACAAAGCTTTCTTTATCTTCCTGGCCCTCTTTCTGACACTACTGATGCTGGAGGCTCTTTATAAGCTCTTGTGGCCACTACCATGGACAAAGCTTGGGGGCTGGCTTCTGGGAACACCTGAGGAGGAGGAGGAGCTGGAATTGTGACCACCTTTTCTATAAACATCCTCTTACTCTGCCAAGAAGGTGAGAGGGGGAGATGGGGGAAGTGGGACTATTGGGGACTATGGAGGGGACACTTGGACAGCTTAGAGCAACAGTCTAAAATTTCTGCACCTATACTCCAGAAAACAATTTTGAAAAGTTTGTACTCCTTACTTATTTTTAAGTAAGCATCTAAAATTTTTCATCACAGCCCTGGCTGGTTTGGCTCAGTGCTTAGAGTCTTGGTCTTTGGAGAGTTGGGTTGTGGGTGTGATTCCCGGTCAATTGATGTGTGTCTCTCTCTCCCTCCCTCTCACTCTTTCTAAAAAAAAAAGTATTTTAAATCATAAATTGAAATTGTTTCAAGGATGTAATTCTTGGCATGTTGAAAATATTCACATTTTAAAATAAACAATTAAATCACCCTTTTGAATGTCCAGGGGAATTGAAACATCAGAGTGACTAGATACTACTATCATCCATTAAAAAATACATGAATAGCCAGGCTGGTGTGGCTCAGTGGATGGAGCATCGGGCCCATGGACTGAGAGGTCCGGTTTGAATTCCTGGTCAGGACACATGCCTGGGTTGTGGGCTCCATCCCCAGTAGGGGGCGTGCAACAGGCAGCCCATGGATGTTTCTCTCTCACATGGATGTTTCTCTCTCACTTCCTCTCTATAAAAGAATCAATAAAAACATATTAAAATAATGTTTAAAAATACATAAGGAAATCTTTAACAGTTGGGAATAATTCTTTTTCTTCTTTTCCTTTTTTCCTTTACCATTCCACTTCCCGAGAGACAATTTTATGCTTTTATACTTAAAAGTCTCAGATGAAAAATATTTTTCTTTCTTGTGACCAAAACTCTAGTTTACAAAAAATTTTCTTCAGGATTATCATTACAATTATTACGACAGCAGAGCTGATCAAATAGCATGAGGGTTGTACACGTTTTTATAATTTTTAAAAATAGAAATATACTTTTTTTGAGTAGAAAATGTGGTGTTTATGGTGCCTACATATTTGTTTACTTCAGACAAGGTAAGGTTATCTCCAGGAGATTTCATGGCTGAGAAGTGTTATTTATTTATTTATTTTAAAGAGGGAAAAAGTCTATTGTAAAAGGGAGAAGGAAGAAAAAGAACCTCTACTGCAGGCATTTACTGAGGAAATCAAATTTTGGGAAAGCCAGGATCTGGCAGTTAAATCCCTTATGTCTCCTAAGTCCTGGTGCTCTTTGGAGTTTTCCTTTCCTCCGGTTTGAAGACAGTGGGCGCAGACAACTGGGAAGAAGTGGTGCGAGGTCGTTCCGTGGAAGGGAGGCCTTGGGGTCCGGGCTCAGGCTTGGGGGCGTTGGGACTCCGCGGCCCCAGAAGGTGACAAGCCGTGCACCTTTGTGGGTGGGGTGCGCACGGATGCCGGGGGCGCCACCCGCGACCGGAACCGCGCCAGCCTTTCCCGTCGCCCCACAAGCCCACCTCTGGACCCAACCTCGCCTCCGAGTCCGTCCGGCCTCCCCAAAGCGGGCGAGGTGGCAGGCGGCGAGGCGGGCGCCCAAGCCGGTCTCCTCCCCCGTTCCTTCCTCAGCTCTCCCAGAGGCAGAGACCCGACGGCTTTCCGAGGCTGCTCCGGTCGTACAGCCCTCCCCGCGGCCGCGGGACCGCGTCCTCACGCCCCGCCCCACAGCGTCGCCCTGGGGCCCCGGAGCCCCGGCCCAGGCTCGGCTTCCGGGTCGTCACCGCCTCCCCTCGGAGACGCCTCCAGAAATGGACGGAGACACCTAAGTCCCACTTACTTGGTTGGTCATCAGTTCTGTGGTGAAGCTTGAAAAGCAAATCAACAAATAGTAACAACAAAACCACACACCGCTTAGCGCGTTCTGATCATTTGTGTGCACGTGTTTTGATTTCATGACTGGGACACGTAGTCACCGAAATGTAGAAACAGCCAGGAAGGGCGCGGAGGGTGGAAGGGAAGGGGCCGGCGCCGTCCAGGAAGCCGTGGAATCAGGAACCTGGAAGACAGGACCGCAGCTCGGGAGGGTCTGCCAATGGCCCATCCGAGAGAAAAGGTATTTCCCCCAGAGACTCCCGCCCTCGCTGCACCTGCGCAGCCTCGGAGGGACCAATTCCCTAGCCGCCCGGTTCCGTTGCCCCTCCCCTACTTGGGAAGAGGCTCAGTCCTCCCTGCACGCGGCTCGCCGACGGTTGGGCCGCAGGAAGTTTCTGATTGGCGGAGTCGCAGAAGCGCTGTGTGAAAGGAGAGCCACAGGCGGCGCTCTGGAGTCAAGGCAGAGTCGGTGCCGTACAGCAAGATGGCGGCCCCGGAGCTTAGGGACTGGCCGCGGGATAAGCCCGCCCCTAAGGTCAGGCGGAAGGGAGTCTCATACTATGACTTGTAGGCGGCCCTGGAGGCGTTCGGCGGTGGGGCTTACAGTCACTTCCGGCCACCGGGGGGCTTGGGATCCGTACGACAATATGGCCGCGCTTAGGTGCCTGTAGGCGGAAACTCTGCGGCTTCCGGTCCAGAATAGGGCCTGCGGTGGGAGGGGGAAGGAAAGAGGAGGGAACCATGCGAGCTTCTGATATCCGCGGTGAGGGTCGCCTCGAGAGGCCGTTTCTGAGGTGCGGGCCGGACCGTGCGGGGAGCGAAGGCGGGGGCGGGGCTGTCGAGGGAGAGCTACTGCGGAGTCCCGGGCGCTAAGTCTGAGGGGCAAGCTGTGGTGCTGTCCCTCCTATCCCTGAAGGGGAGTGGGGCGGCGGGGGCTGAACTGGGGGAGGGGGACTTGGCGGGAAGCTCATCTTGGGGAAGGGGCTAGATGTCGGATGGGATCCGAGAGGAGTCGGGAGAGCCCAGTGCGGGGCTCACAGTCGGTTACAGGTCACAGAGAGAATGGGGGAAATTAGGGTGGGGTGAGAGGGAGGGGACTTGAGGTGAGATACCTCCAACCTAACCCCCGGGTTTGAGACCCTTCAGGGGTGGAATACGGAGATAATTCAGAAAGGGGAATGTATTGTTGGGAGGAAATTTTCTTTGCTTCAGAGAGTCCAGGAGTTGGGGTGATCCTTCAGGATCGGGTAAAGGTGTGAATTTGACGTGTTTGAGAGCAAAAGGGGGAAAACATGTGAGGTGCTGACGAGTGTAGTTTTAGGACCTGTGCGTGGGGATGTCATGAAATCTGGAGTGCAGTGTGGGAAGTGGTCCAGGGCTTGGGAGGAAAGTCAACTTGCCAACTAGGAGAAATTCTGGGGAAACGCAACCGAAAGACCGGATATGATATGAGGGGTGGAGCTTGGGGTGGGTACTTTAGGTTTCAGGTGCCTTGGGGCTCCCTCGTACAGGGCCCCAAAAACTTGGTACTAATCATTGCTAAAGATAGGCAGTGAGGACATTGTTGGGCAGGGCTGGGAGTTACTGAAACCCGACAAGATTTGAACATGTGTGAGATGAAGGGATGGGGCTATGCTGGAAGGGGCTCTTTCTAAGGCCCCATCCCCTTCCAGCAGGAATTACGAAATCCCCAACACTTCGTCCCTCCGGGGGATTTGATCCCCCATGGCCACCGATAACAGCATCATTGTGCTGGATGATGATGATGAAGATGAAGCAGCTGTTCAGCCAGGGCCCTCCCACCCACCCCCCAATCCGGCCTCACCCCGGGCAGAAGCCCCTGGCTCCTCTCAGCCCCATGGGGCTGGAGGGAACAGTAGTTCGGGCGGCAAGAAATGCTACAAGTTGGAGAATGAGAAGCTGTTTGAAGAGGTGAGCTTTAGGGGAGAAGATTCTTATACCCAGGGAGAGGGGTGGCTGACTGGCTCTCCTGTCCTTTCTTCCCCACTAATCCCACCTTGCCTTCTTTCTCTCAACCCCCTCCCTTGTCTCTTTCCCCCTCCCTTCTTCCCCTGAACCCTCCAGTTCCTTGAACTGTGTAAGGCGCAGACTTCAGACCACCCTGATGTGGTCCCGTTCCTCTGTAAACGGCAGCAGCGTGCCCACTCTCTGTTTTTGGCCTCAGCTGAGTTCTGCAACATCCTCTCTCGGGTTCTGACTCGGGCCCAGAGCCGGCCAGCTAAGCTGTATGTGTACATTAATGAGCTCTGCACTGTTCTCAAGGCTCACTCAGCCAAGAAAAAGCTGAACCTGGCCCCTGCTGCCACCACCTCCAGTGAGCCCTCTGGGAGTAACCCTCCCACAGACCCCTCCTCAGACCCCACAAATGCCGAGACCACTGGCTCTGAGGCCCCAAGGACCCGTGGTTCCCGGGGGCAGATCCAGCGCTTGGAGCAGCTGTTAGCCCTCTATGTGGCAGAAATTCGGCGGCTGCAGGAAAAAGAGTTGGATCTCAAAGAATTGGATGACCCAGACTCCACATACCTGCAGGAGGCAAGGTTGAAGAGGAAGCTGATCCACCTCTTTGGGCGGCTGTGTGACCTGAAAGACTGCTCTTCACTGACAGGCCGAGTCATAGAGCAGCGCATTCCTTACCGTGGCACCCGCTACCCAGAGGTTAACAGGCGCATTGAGAAGCTCATCAACAAGCCAGGGCCTGATACTTTCCCTGACTATGGAGATGTGCTGCGGGCTGTGGAGAAGGCAGCTGCTAGGCACAGCCTTGGCCTCCCCCGACAGCAGCTCCAGCTCATAGCTCAGGATGCCTTCCGAGACGTGGGTATCAGGTTACAGGAGCGCCGCCACCTTGATCTCATCTACAACTTTGGCTGTCACCTCACAGATGATTATAGGCCAGGTAGGGATTAGTGAGATACCCATCAATAACCCTTATATGTCTAGTGTGTGGTAGAGGGGGCATCTCTCTAGTCTCTTCTAGGATTTGGGATGAATACTCTGACTTTATATCTTACCACACAGGCATTGACCCCGCACTGTCAGATCCCGCCCTAGCCCGCCGCCTGAGGGAAAACCGGAGCTTGGCTATGAGCCGCCTGGATGAAGTCATCTCCAAATATGCGATGATGCAAGACAAGAGTGAGGAGGGAGAGAGACAGAAGAGAAAGGCCCGACTTCCCCAAGCCACCTCTTCCCATTCTGCAGATCCCCCCAAAGCCTCCTTGGATTCTGGTGAGGTGTGGAAGGGCTGCATCCTTCAGAGAAACCCTGTTCTTCCCCTGCACTGGGCAGCAGGGAGTCCAGGGTTACTGATGGGGGAGTTTGCAGAAGGAACACAGAACCAGACCTTCTGGGGCAAGGGATTTCTTTTCTTATTTTTTAAAATATTTTTTTCTTTATTGGTTATTTTTAGAGAGAGTAGAAGGGAGAGGGAGAGAGATAGAAACATCGATGAGAGAGGACATTGATTGGCCACCTCCTGCATGTCCCCACTGGGAATTTGGCCCTGAGTGGGAAGTGCCCACTGGACAAGTGCCCTGAGTGGGAATTGAAATGGCGACCTCTTGGTGCATGGGTCGATGCTCAACCACTGAGCCACACTGGATTTTAGAGAGCAAGGGAGAGAGAGATAGAAACATTGATGAGAGAGAACATTGATTGGCAGCCTCCTGCATGCCCCCGGGAATGGAACTGGCAACTTCTTGGTGCATGGGTTGACGCTCAACCACGGAACCACACTGCCCGTTGGCAAGGGATTTCATAAAGAAACTCCTTTGTCCCCCAGGGCCCTAGTGGAATGGCATCCCAGGAACACGCTACCTCTTCCAAGGCTGAGACAGGTGATGAAGAAGATGAGGAAACTGAGGAAGAGGAAGAGGAGGAAGAAGAGGAGGAGGATGAGGAAGAGGTGGAAGAGGAGGAAGAGGAGGCTACAGATTCCGAAGAAGAGGAGGATCTGGAACAGATACAGGAGGATGAAGAGGAGGAGGAGGAAGCAGGTATGTCATGGGTCAGTTCCTTTTACTCTGTTGGGCATGAGCCACCTGTTTGAGACCCTTCCCTTCCTCCTCTGATGCCTAGAGTCTTCTTGGCAGTATTCTTTCCCCTGGTTCTCATGCTACTCCTCTCCTCTTTTCTCTTTTTCAGGTAAGGATAGAGACAAGAGCCCCATGTCCTCACCACAGATTTCCACTGAAAAGAACCTGGAACCTAGCAAAGAGATCAACAGGTCTTCAGGGGAGCAGCAAAAAAAAGGACTCATAGTGTCACCATCTTCACTGTCAGAAGAGCCCCTGGCCCCCTCCAGTGTAGATACTGAGAGTAATGAAGAATACCTCGAGGAGTTGCCCCTGGAGAAAGAGAGCCCTGTGTCTCAGGTCTTTGAGCTAGAGATTGAAGCCTTGACTGTGGATACCACCCCGTCCCCTGAGGAGGGGGACATTTCCTCTTCCAGGAAGCAATCAGAGGACACCCTCACCACTGTTTTGGAGAATGGAGCAGCCATGGTCACCTCCACTTCTTTCAATGGAGGTGTCTCTCCTCACACCTGGGGAGATTCTAGTCCCCCCTGCAAGAAATTTCGGAAGGAGAGGCAAACAGGAGCAGGGCCATTAGGAAACAGGTAACAACAAGGTGGAAGAAGAGGGAAGCCAAGGAGGGATTGCTGGGGGCTTTCTAAGAGGAGTATTGAGGAACTGAGTCTGTTGGGAGATACTGACACTCTCCTCCAGCCTCAGACTCCCTGCATTTATGTTTCTGTCCCTAGCTACGTGGAAGGGCAAAGGGCAGTACATGAGAAGACTGGGAAGAACATATGTACCCTGCCCAGCCCACCTTCCCCCTTGGCTTCCATGGCCCCAGTTGCTGATTCCTCAACAAGGGTGGACTCTCCCAGTCATGGCCTGGTGACCAGCTCCCTCTGTAGCCCATCTCCAGCCCAGTTGTCCCTAGCCCCCCGGATACAACCCTCCCAGCCTGGTACTGACAAGGTAAGAAGAGGAGGCTGTTTTTCCTGACTTCATTTTCTTTTAGTATCTGTTCATTTTCAGGCGCTCCATCTGCATATTGTACTCGCCATATCCTCTCTCTTCCATTTTCCTAACCCAATTTTTAATCGTTGATAAGTCCTTCCTCTGTTTCTCCTCCCCCTATATTCCAGACCTCTCTGACTCTTTGTCTCTCCCTTCCTTGCAGATGAGTGTGGCCACACAATGCGATCCAGAGGAGATCATCGTGCTCTCAGACTCTGACTAGCTGGCTCCCCACCACTCCCTGACTCCAGATGTTTGGGGATAGAATTTGGAGGATGTTGGGAAGCAGATGAATGAGGAAGGGATGGGATAAGCTAATCCCCTTTTGGTGGTGTTTCTTTTAAAATAAAAAGTTTTACACAAAACAATAAACAATAAAGTTCTTTTCTTATTGTATACCTGTCCTTTTCTTTGTCCTGCTCTCACCAGTTGGCACCAGCTGTTCTCTGGCTCAGGGTTAGCCCAGCCCTCGGAGTAGCCCCTGGATCTGTCCTTTCTAGCCTGCCCTAAGCCCGCTCTCCTGGCGTTTCCTTGCCTTCAAACTTTAACCTTGCCCTTTGCTAGGCACTAAAAAAAACGTGCTTCGTTCGGCTCTACTTTCCCACTTCTAGCGGTAGGAGTAGAAAGGCCAATCAGAGGCCGACTCAAGGTTATTCGGCCAGTCCGGGCCCGGAGGAAGGGGGCGGGGCTTCACGGGGACTGTCAGAAGCTGGGAGACTAGGGCGATTAGATCCCGTTAATGGCCACAGCTCCAAGGCCAAGGCCCATCGCCAATGGGAAGAGGCAGGCTTACAGAATTAAAGGGGAATGAGTGCTTCGAACAAACCAAGTCCTGAGTCCTCAGCGGCGGAGGAAACCTGGTACCTTTAAAGTGGAATGAAGCAAATGTGTTTTAAAGGAGAAGTGGCCGCGTCGGCCGAGTATTGCCCAGTGGCACGGGCGGGGTGTGCGCCTGTGCCTTTAAAGCCGGAAGGGCAGGAGGCGGAGCGGAGGCGGAGGGCGGAGGGAGTCGGCGCAAGATGGCGGCGGGAGGGGCCCAGGCTGCGGCTCTGGCGGCCGAGTGAGGGGAGGGGGGGCCCGGGGGCGCGCGGCCCGGTAAGCGGAGACGCGCGGGGTTGGGGGGCGCCTTCCGGGTGGGAGAGAAGGTCGAAGTAGCTTTTTGGGCGGAGCAGAGGGGGGCGGGGTCCGTTGTGGGCGGGGGTTGGCAAGGGGCGGGGCCGGAAGGCCACAGGGGTGGGTCTTGAAAAGGGCGGGGCCGAAAGAACCTGGGGGCGGTTCTTGATGGGGGCGAGGCTAGAGTTAACCGGGGGCAAAAGGGGCGTGGCCCGCGAAAGAGCCCGGGGCTTAGCCTAAAGGGAACTGGAGAGAGAGGGTGGTTTTCAGTAACGGAGCAGACCTGCCCCCTCACAAGAAAAGGGTGCAAAACATCAGGTAAATTTTGGAAAGTCAGGCGCTCTGACAAGTGGGAAATTCCTAGGGTAGGCACCCCATTTCCAAAGACTACTTATTTCTCTAACCTCCAAGGAAAGAGCACTGGATTTGGAGTCAGGACAACTAAATTTGCTGGCGCTGCCACTTGCTGGCTGTGACCATGAATAATCTCTTAGTATTTCTTAGCCTCAGTTTCCTCATCCGTCCAGTGGGGTTGAAAGGAATTCCTACTTCAAAGTGCCCTTGTGGGGAGTTACTCAAATAATAGGTGTGAACATGTTTTTAAACTGTAAAGAGATGTTTCATTATGAGATGTTATCATTCTTCTCTTTTTTTATTTTCCAGAGACCCCCCCGGCCGCCCTTTTCCTTCTCTTGTTCCTGTGGCTGGGGGGGTACCTCCTCCCTCCACACCATGGAGCCATCTCCTTTGTCTCCAAGTGGGGCAGCACTCCCCCTGCCTCTGTCGCTGGCCCCGCCTCCACTGCCCTTGCCTGCAGCTGCTGTGGTACACGTGTCCTTTCCAGAGGTAACCAGTGCCCTCCTGGAGTCCCTCAATCAGCAGCGGCTGCAGGGCCAGCTCTGCGATGTGTCCATCCGAGTGCAGGGCCGGGAGTTCAGGGCTCACCGTGCTGTCCTGGCTGCTTCCTCCCCTTACTTCCATGACCAGGTCCTACTCAAAGGTATGACCTCCATCTCCCTGCCCAGTGTCATGGACCCTGGTGCCTTCGAGACTGTCCTGGCTTCAGCTTACACTGGTCGCCTCAGCATGGCTGCTGCTGACATTGTCAACTTCCTCACAGTGGGTTCTGTGCTCCAAATGTGGCACATTGTGGATAAATGCACTGAACTCCTTCGAGAAGGCCGGGCCTCAGCCACCACTGCCACCATCACTACTGCTGCAGCCACCTCAGTCACGGTCCCTGGTGCTGGGGTCCCATCAGGGAGTGGTGGCAGTGTGGCTTCTGCCACCATGGGCTCTGTCCGCTCCCATGCCTCCAGTCGGGCCAGTGAGAATCAATCCCCCAGCAGCAGCAACTACTTCAGCCCCCGAGAGTCCACTGATTTCTCATCTTCTTCCCAAGAGGCGTTTGCAGCTTCTGCAGTGGGCAGCGGGGAGCGTCGAGGAGGTGGCCCTGTATTCCCAGCCCCTGTGGTTGGCAGTGGGGGGGCTACCTCTGGGAAGCTGCTGCTGGAGGCAGATGAGCTATGTGATGACGGTGGGGATGGCAGGGGTGCAGTGGTTCCTGGGGCTGGGCTCCGAAGGCCTACCTATGCACCCCCCAGCATCGTGCCACAGAAGCACTGGATATATGTGAAGCGCGGTGGAAACTGCCCAACAGCATCCCTGGTTCCCCAAGACCAAGATCTGGAAGAGGATGATGAGGAGGAAGACCTGGTTTTGACCTGTGAGGATGATGAAGATGAAGAGCAAGGGGGTGGGTCCGGGGTTCCAGCTGGGGGAGGACCTGAGGCTACCCTTAGCATAAGTGATGTCCGGACCCTGACTGAGCCTCCAGGCAAGGGAGAGGAACAGGTCAACTTCTGTGAGTCCTCCAATGACTTTGGCTCCTATGAGGGTGGGGGTCCTGGTGCAGGGATTGATGATTCAGGGGGGCCCACTCCTTCGTCCTATGTCCCCTCCAACCCACCACGGTCCCTGCTTCCTGTGGATGTACAGGGCAGCCAGATCCTAGTCTTCCCATCTTCGTCCTCCTCCTCACAGCCTCCAGGCCAGCCGCCAGGGAACCAAGCTGAACACGGAGCTGTGACTCTAGGGGGCACATCCGCAGGGGGCCTGGGCGTCCAGGGTGGCGCTGGTGGGACCTCTGGAGGAACAGGCAGCGGGGATGGGAATAAGATCTTTCTGTGCCACTGCGGGAAGGCCTTCTCCCATAAGAGCATGCGAGATCGTCATGTGAACATGCACCTCAACCTGCGGCCCTTTGACTGCCCTGTGTGCAACAAAAAGTTCAAGATGAAGCACCACCTGACCGAGCACATGAAGACGCACACAGGCCTCAAGCCCTATGAGTGCGGCGTCTGCGCCAAGAAGTTCATGTGGCGGGACAGCTTCATGCGCCACCGAGGACATTGTGAGCGCCGGCACCGCTTGGGTGGGGGTGGGGCTGGACCGGGACCTGGGGGGCCCACAGGATCAGCCTTGCCACCCAAGAGAGAGTCCCTGGGGGTGGGCGGGGGCAACAGCCAAGAGGCCAGTGGAACCACGCCCCCGTCCAGCCGTGGAGTCTGGTCCCCACCCAATGTTCACAAGGTGGAAATGGGCTTCAGTGGGGGCGGAGGAGCAAACTAAAGAAGTAGGCTACTGGGGACAGTTTTCAGGTAAAAGAAATAGGGAGCACGAGCTAGGGGTGCTGTGGCCCCCAGGTGATCTCCCACTACAGTTACTGTCTTCCTTATCTCTATCTCTATGGACTTGTATATATTAGGGAGGGGGAACCACATGGCTCCATCACCATCCAATTCCAGTCCTCTGTCCCTTTCCTTCCAAGTATCACGAAACCAAGTCCTTCCTTTCCCTCAGGGTACACCGAAGCCACAGCTCCAGAATAGGGCGCATATGGTGGTGGGGGGGAGGGCACCTGTTCAGCATCCTGGAGTCACAGGGTCAAGGGTAAGGTGGTTGTGGTCTGTATCTGAAGTCTGTGTTTGTGTTGTTGTGGGGATCAGGCCTTGGAGCCCTATCCATGTCCTAGAACCCTCCCCCAAGGATGTGCCCATTATATCTACCGTACTCCCTCTTCCCCATCCTTGGGGCACCTCAACTCTATTCTCATTGGGGAGGGAGTGGAGACAGGGAGGGAGGAAATCATAGGAGTACAAGGTTTTTATTTTAAATCTTATTTTTTTTAATGGTGATTAAAATATTTATTGGTCATTTCACTTGGCTTCCCATAACCCCTGTGTGTTTGCTGGGGACCCAGCACAGGTGGGGGAAGGCGGAGTAGTGGTTCTAGATGAAGTGGATGGGGGGTGGGGCAGTGAGCCCGGAGGAGGAGTCTAGGGCTCTGGGGCTTGGCGGTGCTGGGAAATTGGGGGGGGGGTGGGGGAGGTGTGGGACGCTGCAGAGGGCCCCCTATCGGAACTGGAGAGGATGTTCTCGCATCCCTACCCCTCCAATGAAGGAAGCACCTGTCTCCCACTCGCCCTCACCTAACCAAGGCGGGGATTTCCTCCGCCCCTCCTGCTGGCCTTTTGAGGAAAGTGAAAGTGAAAGGGGGAAGAAGTGGCTTCTGGGTTGAGGAGATCGCGGCGCCATGAAGCCCCTGTTCCTACTCCTCGCTGTGGCTTTGGGTGAGCAAACCCCGCGACTCCTTTGCCCTGGAACCAAACGGGGCAAAGCAGAGGGAGGTGACCCCACCACGCGTCCTACGTGTGTTGGGTAGTGGGGGGGAATCGGGCCACCTGACTTCTGAGCCACCTCCTCCGTCGCGCCCCTCTCCCCCAGGCTTGCTGAGCGCAGTCTCCGCGGGACCGGCGGTAATAGAGTGCTGGTTGGTGGAGGATGCAGGCAGGGGCCGTCTGGCCAAGAGACCCGCTGCGTTACTGCTGCGCCAGGGCCCGGGGGGACCACCTCCCCGGCCAGACCTCGACCCCGAGCTCTACCTCAAAGTGCATGGTGAGTCTTCCCAGACTCGCTTCCAACTGTCACTTCCAACCGAAACCTTTTTTTAGGTCGCGCAATAACCTCGAGCCTCTGTTTGCCCCTCTGTAAATGAGTCTGGATTACTTCAAAATCTCTCCCTACCCGGTAGTTTGTACATTTGAAATTCCCTGGACGCTGCCCGCCTCACCCCTTACCAAGCAGTGACTACATCTGCAACCCCCTCCTCCACACTCCCAGACCCTGCCGGTGCCCTCCAGGCGGCCTTCAGGCGGTACCCCCGGAGCGCTCCCGCACCACACTGCGAGATTGGCCACTACGTCCCTTTCCCCGCCTCGGCGGATTGGGCCAGGAGCCTGACCCCGGAGCAGAGCTGCCCGCGGGCCCTGGACGGGACTTGGCTCGTGGTCAGCATATCCAGCCCGGTGGTCAGCCTCTCCAGCCTCCTGCGATCACAGTCCGAGTCTCAGCGGGAGTCTGCACTCATCACCATGGCAACAGGTAGCTGGGTAGGGGAAGTGGAGCTAAGCGGGTGGATTCCAAGGGTCTAGATCAGCCAGCCATCACTGTAGACTTGAGCGAGTCATTTCCCCAATCAGAGTTCAGTTTCCTTATTTGTAAAGTGAGTGGGTTACGTTAGAAGGAAACTATCTCTACCCTTCTTCTAGCCCCAACCAGTTAAATACACACCCGCGCCCCCTAAGGTTTGGGGCGGGGCTTTGGAGACTGGGGGGGTTTCCAGACACTGGACCTTGAGAAAGTTGCAAGGCACAGTGGTTGGGAGAGGCTCAGTGCAGAAACTTTTCTCTCCTCCCAGATCTGTATCTTGTTAGGCACCCCCAACTTTGCGGTTCACCCAGTGTCAAAAAACAGCCTTCGAGCCTGCGCCCACATCGGGCCGCTGCAGCAATCAGCAAAGTGAAAGCTCTTGCGCTCAAGCGCGTTGACCTCCCTGAGACCCTTCTCTATTGGCGCTTGGGGACGCGCTGACTCTGGTCACCAAATGATGTGCTCGAGTGGGCGCAGAGGACATGGCGAGAAATCAGATGTTCCCATTGCCAGTAGTTCTCACTGCTTATTGTATGGGGCAACTCTGTTTGAGGCCCGGGGTCGGGCACTTGGCTGGGCTGAGGCTTGAGAGTGGAGGGGGCGGGTAAAGCAAGAACAGGGAAGATCTCACTGGGATACATAGCCTCGCCCTGCTAGCGGCGGAGTAGGAGAGGATATGAGCAGAGCAGAGCCTTCCCTCAGTTTTGTGCGATTTTATGTAAACAACACAGCCTGACTGGTGGGTCAACCCCAACCTAGCCCTGCACCTTCCCTTCCCCAGTACCTCCTCCCTGCCACCTGCCTCACTGAATGAGAAGCCCTAGGACCAGGGAAACGGACTAAGCACAACTCCATTCTTGCTCCCCATACCCCACCTCTGGGCAGGGGCAGAAGCAAACTGCCTTGGTTACAGTGGCTCTCTCCAGTGCGGAGGAATGTCTCCCGGAGCTACTGGATTCACTGGAGAGGGGCGAGAATGCCCTTTTCTCTCAGAGCCTGTTTTTCCAGCAGTAAAGTGTGGATGCTGTTTCCCATCTGCCTTTCCGTTGTTGTGACTACCAACGGAGCTCCTTTGTTAATTTATTCACTGATTCAGTAAATATTTATTAGCACTAAGAAAAAATTAGGGCCGTAGTTTGGCCAGGTTGCCAATAAGAATCCCTTGGAAGTTTCTAAAATATACTGTAACCATGCCCTGGCTGTTGTGGCTCAGTTGGTTGGAGGGTGGTCCAGTGCACCAGTTCATTCCCCAGGTGCTGGGGCGTGTGTGTGTGTGTGTGTGTGTGTGTGTGTGTGTGTGTGTGTTGGGGAGGAGGGGCAACCAATCGATGTTTCTGTCTCAAATTTTTTAAAAGATAAAATATGCTTTAACCCGAGTCCCACTCCAGACAGATTTACTTAGTTAGTTCACTCCAGGCAAATTAAACCAGAATCTCTGGGATGGTCCTGGACCTAGTAAGTGTTACAAAAGTGATACGATGTAGATTCTGTTCTCAAGAAGGTTCTCGACAGGTCTGTCATGGATAGTAGTAGAGTGCAAAGTCTCGGGGACCCCGAGAGAAGTGTAGCCAGGGGAATGCCCAGCTCCGCATCTCACAGACCACTGTGGGTAAAAGCTAGTTGCTGTGCTTATTCTTCCTTTTCAAGCATTCTGCTTGATTGGGGATTTAAGAAAATGAAATGTGTTTTAAGAATATTTTTCATTGATTTTTAGAGGAAGGGAGAAGGAGAAACATCTGTGTGTGAAATGGAAAACATCAACTGGCTGCCTCCCGCTCGCCCCCTACAGGAGGGATGGAGCCAGCCACCTCGGCATGAAACACCCCCCCCCACCCCCGCTCTGCCCTGCCCTGCCCTGCTGGAATCTCACCAGCAACCCTATGGTGCACCCAGCGACACACCGGCCACTGCACCCAGCGACACACCGGCCACTGCGAGATTTGTTGTTTTAATGTAAAATTAAAACTGGAGGTGTGGCTCGCTGGTTGAGCGTAGTCCCATGCACCAGGAGGTTGCCAGTTAGATTTCTGTCAGGGCACATGCCGGGTTTGGGGCTCCATCCCCAGTAGGCGGTGTGCAGGACACAGCTGATGGATGTTTCTCTCTCTCAGTGATGTTTCTGTCTCTCTCTGAAGTCAATAAAAACATATTAAAAATAAATACATAAATAAAATAAAACATTGTTATGGAAAATCTAAAAGGTACACAACAGTAGAGAAAACCCCCACATACCCATCACCTACTTGTACAGTTATTACATTTTATCATATTGTTTCACCCATCCTCCCCTCACCTTTTCTTTTTTTGAAGTGTTTTAAAGAAGATCCCAGGCATTAGATTATTTTACTCATAAGTAATTCAGAAAGCATCTTTTAAAAATTTTTTGCAATGAGTTTTTCTCTTTTATTTGCTTCCCCTTTGCTCAATCCCAGAACTCCAGTCCCCCAGCCCTAGCTGTCAGCCTGCTCTGTATCTATGAGTCTGTCTCTGTTTTGCATGGTAGTTCACTTTGTTCACTAGAGTCCACATATGAGTGAAATCCTATGGTGCTTGTCTTTCTCTCACTGGCTTATTTCACTTAGCACAATGCTCTCCAGGTCTATCAATGCTGTTGAAAGGGTGAGATTTCCTTTTAAATAGGACTTAAAAAAATGCAGCCCCACTGCTGTGGTTCAGCTACTTGTCATCTCATGCAACTGGAAGTTGCAGGTTCAATTACCTGTCCGGGTTCATGTCCCAGTTGCCAGCTTGATCCTCCTTGTGCAGGAAGCAGCTGATGGGTGTTTCTCTCTACTCAATGCTTCTCTCTCTCCCTTTCTCTCTCTGAAATAAAAAACAAAACAAAACATATTTATCAAAACCAAACCAAACACCACAATACCATTATTATACCTAACAAAACAAACAATAATTCATCAATATCATTTAATTCCTAGCCCATATTAAAATTTTCCCAATTGTTTTAATGATGTTATTTTACAATTTATTTTCTCAAATCAGGATCTAAAACAGTTTCATGTATTATATTTGGTTGTTGTATCTGCTCTGGCTGCCATAACAAAATATCTTAGACCAGTGGCTAAAATGACAGGAATTCATTTTCTCATAGTTCTGGTTGCTAGAAGTCAAAGATTAAGTAGAAGACCAAGGTGTTAGCAAGGTTGGTGTCTGGTGAGAGCTGACCCCTTGTGGATGAATGGAAGGAGACCAGAGAGGAGGCTGTTGTGATTGTCCAAATGTATGTTGATGAGAACTTGAGTTAGAAACAGATGTAGGATCTATTTGGGAGATAAAACTAGGGCCTAGTGGGGACACCACATAGCATATTATATTAGGCAGTTTGCTCATCTGTCTCCCTCATTAAACTGTAAGCAATTTGATGGCAAGGACTGCCCATCTTGTTCACCAGTCTTTCCTCTACCTTGAACATCCTAGCTGCTCAATACATTTAATTGAATGAATGAGAGGAAGGAGTCTTGCGATTCCAAGTGTTGATCATTCATTAAGGCAGGGAAGATGGGCACTGGAGCAGCGTGGGGAATGTTGCAGGGATGCTATAGCGCTGGGCCATGTTGTGTCTGGCAGATGGTTAGATGTAACCACAGCAAACACTTCTGTAGACTTACTGTGTTCCAGGCACTGCACGAAGTGCCTTTCATATATAGATGTCTTTCCTATCCAGAACCAGGAACTGAATAAATCTGGGTAGCAAGGGGGAAAAAATAACTTAACCCTCTGTACAAACCCCATGAAACAGGTACTATCACCATCATTATTATCTTTATTTAGGCAATTAGGAAACAGAGCCATGGAAAAGTGAAGTAACTGGCCCATAAATAGCTTGAGTTGGGATTAACCAGGGCAGCCAGGCTCCAGGCACTTAGCACAATTGCTGCAGCAGAGCAGAGACGTCTGTGTTCAGGTCTAGGCCAGAACCAGAATCTTCCAGAGTCAGTAAACACTCTGTAGAACACCATAGGATCAATAGTCATGAGTCATCATTGTCTTCACCAAGACAGGCCTGGGTATTTGGGTGGTCCATGGAAACTGGACTGGCTCAGGCTGTGTCAGAGTGCACTCAGATCCTGCTGTCCCCGAGCTCAGAGCAGTCTACAAGGGCTATACTCGCTCCCTGCCCCTATTCCCTTCTAGACCTCTCTGCTCACCCTCAGCCACACTGGGTCCCCCCAGTCCCAGAGCAAAAGTGATGTGCAGGGAGGGCTGGAGATGGTCTTAGAAAAGGAGGTGTCTTCTGAGGGGTGGGTAAATTGGAGTTGAGCCCTCCCTATAACTCCATTTCTCTATTTTTCCTCCTTTCTCTCCCTCATGCCCCTCCTACTCCTTCCTCTCCCCATCTTCCCCAGCTGTGCTGACTGTCGTCACCCACACTCCTATCACTCGAATCCGACTGGGACAGGATGCTCTGCTGGACTTGAGCTTTGCCTACATGCCCCCCACCCCAGAGGCCACTGCATCTCTGGCCCCAGGTCCCCCTTCCTTTGGGCTGGAATGGAGACACCAGCACCTGGGTAAAGGGCACCTGCTCCTGGCTGCAACTCCTGGGCTAGGTGGGCAAATGCCAGCTGCCCGAGATGGGGCAGTGGCATTTGCTGCCTGGGATGATAATGAGCCATGGGGTCCATGGACTGGAAATGGAACCCTCTGGCTGCCTGCAGTGCGACCCTTCCAGGAGGGCTCCTACCTGGCTACCATACACCTGTCATACCTGCAAGGGCAGGTCACTGTGGAGCTTGCTGTGCAGAGTGAGTTGGGGTCCCCGTGGGTAGTGGGTGGGCACTGGGATTATGGAGACACCAGGATAGGGGGAGGAATTGTGGGGAAGAGGATGCAGGGTGAGATGGGGAGAGATATTGAGGTCACTGGGAGTCAGGGGCAGTGGGAATCTGAGGGGCTTTGGGGTGAAGGTTCCTGAAGCTAAGGGAATAGGGGTCCCAGACAACTGGGATTATGACCTGAGAAATCATATAACTCACCAGTGGGGAGACAGTGGATTCACCATCCTGGGAGAAAAACCTCAAACCCTACTTAGTTTTGGGGAAGCTAGAGAGCAAACTGAGGGTCTCTGAGAGGACAGTGTAGATTGATTTACACCATGCTTCTTTCCTACTCTCATCACAGAGCCCCCCAAAGTGTCCCTGACACCAGCACCTCTTGTATGGGCTGCCCCTGGGGAGGCACCCCCAGAACTGCTCTGCCACGTGTCCCACTTCTACCCCTCTGAGGGCCTGGAGGTGGAGTGGGAGCTCCGAGGTGGTCCAGAGGGCAGCTTTCAGAAGGCCGAGGGGAAAAGGTGGCTGTCAGGCCTGAGCCACCACTCAGATGGCTCCATCAGCCTCTCAGCGCACCTGCAGCCGCCCCCAGTCACTGCTGCTCAGCATGGGGCACGCTACGCCTGTCGTATCTACCACCCCAGCCTGCCCGCCTTTGGGCGCAGTGCTGAAGTCTCCTTGGAGGTTTCAGGTAAGAGTCAAGGGGATTGAAAAGGGGGTGAGTTGCCCAGGAAGATACTTGGAGCTCATTCTCCCCCATCCTGCCAGGTCTCTCTGGACCTTCCCTGGAGGATGGCATAGGCCTCTTCCTGTCTGCCTTCCTTCTGCTAGGGCTCCTGAAGACGCTGGGCTGGATAGGTGAGTCACTCCCTGCTTACTCCCAGAAGCCTTACACCCATCCCTTTGCCTTACCACTCCGCCATCCCATCCCGTCTCCATCTCTCCACAGCTGCCTCCTGCCTGTCTACTTCCAAGGAGTCAAAGGAGAAGGTAATAGTGCTCCACCTTTGCCTAATTTTCCCCTTCTCATTTCATCTTCTTCCCCCAACTCACCTGTGGAGGGAGGCTGCTGGCATGCAGAACCTGGTCTTGGAATTCAGTTTCCTTGGGTGTAGGGATAAGAAAAAAACTTAGGCAACGCTGTCCAGTAGAAACATAATGCAAGCCACATATGTAAATTTAAATAATCGAGTAGTTATATTAAAAGGTGTTGATGTGCCCTGGCCAGTGTGTCTCAGTGGTTAGAGTGTTGGTACACACACTGAAGGGTTGTAAGTTCAATTCCGGTTCTAGGGCATGTTCCTAGGTTGCAGGTTCAATCCTGGAGGCAACCAATTGATGTGTCTCTCTCTGATGTTTCTCTCTCTCTCTCCCTCTGCCTCCCTTCCATTCTCTCTAAAAATATCAATGGAAAATAATATCCTAGGGTGAGAGTTAAAAAATAATAATAAAATAAAAATAAAAAAAGTAAAAAGCATTGATGTAAAAAAATCCAAACGTGTTGAGATATTTTTTTAAAAATCTTTAAAATTTTTTGTTTTTAACTTATTGATTTAAAGAAAGAGCAATGAAAGGTGAGAGTGAGCAAAACATTGATTTGTTGTTCCGCTTATTTATGCATTAAATGGTTGATTCTTGTATATGCCCTGACTGGAGATTGAACCTGCAACCTTGGCCTATTGGGACAATGCTCTAACCAACTGAGCTACCCGGCCAGGGCCATAGAGGATCTTTTATAAGAGTTTATTTGAACCAAAACTGACAATTGCTGGGAAGCAAGATCTCAAATGCTCCTCAAAATGACAGTTTGCAGCTTCTTTTATGCATTCGAAGTTAACAAGGGAACCTAGGAAGATTACATGAACGTGGAGAAAGCAAGGCAGGGATAGGATTACTGGATAGTTAACAAGATTATGTGCTCTCTTGAGGGTGCTTATTATTTCAAAGGTGTGTTAACTTAGATGCACAAAAGCAATGGATAAGGCTGGCTTAAGGCAAAGATAAACCTTTTAGTAAAGTTATATGCCTGGGGTATGACTACCTACCATGACCTGTCCAGTTAGGAATTCATGATTCGGTCCCCCTGTGAGGCTGCTTTCTAGAGGACCTCTTTCATCCAAAAAGGTAAAAAAAGAAACATGTAACTGGCTGGTTTGGCTCACCAGTTAGAGCATCGGCCCATGGACTGAAGGGTCATAGGTTCAATTCCTGGGTAAGGACACATATGCCCTGGTTGGGGTCATGTGGGAGGCAACCAATTGATGTGTCTCTCTCACTTGGATGTTTCTCTCGCTCTCCCCCTCCTTCCCTTCCACTCTATCTAAAACAAACAAACAAAAAAAACCCAGGTAAAATTAATTTTAATAATATACTTTATTTCATCTGATATATCCAAAATATGATACATTACATGTAATCAGTCTAAGAAATTCTAGTTTATTTTTTCTGTCCTAAGTCCTCAAAAGCAGGTGTTTATTTTAAACTGCCAGCAAATCTCACTTCAGACTAGCCGTATTTCAAATGCTCAGTAGACATGTAGGTGGTGACAACTGCCTTGGACAGTGGAGCCTTCAGAGGGCTGCTGGGGATTAAAGGAGAGAGTGCATCTCCTTTGCAAGATGCAGGAGCAGAAGCACTTGGCAGTGTCTGCCAGGCAGAAAACAGAAACTGCTGGCTTCGTTTTTCTCCCACCCTCTGTGTCCATGATGGTTCCTTTATGTCTGGGTCAATCATGAGTACTTCACCTGGAATTCTAAAACCCTAAATTCCTCCCCTTGTTTTTACTTCTTTTCCAGAAAACACAGTGAGGGCACTCACCACCATCCTGGGGAAGCCACCATCATCTGTCACCTGCTCCTTTCAATTTCTCCACTGAGTGGCTGGAATGCTTTTTTTTCACAGACACAAATCGATGGCATCCACCTTCTTAGAGCTGTAGGGCAGTGGTTCTCAAAATTTTTGGACTCAGTACATCTTAAAAATTATCAAGGACTCGCCCTGGCCTGTTTGGCTCAGTGGTAGAGCATTGGCCCACGGACCAATGAGTCTCGGGTTTGATTCCGGCCAAGGGCATGTATCTCTGTTGTTCATCCCCGGCCCTGGTCAGAGTCATGCCAGAGGCAACCAGTCTTATGTGTCCCTCTCACGTTGATGTTTCTCTCTCTCTCTCTCTCCCCCTCCCCCTTTCTCACCCTCTCTCTCCCTCCCACTCTATCTGAAGAGAAATAGAAAAAAAATATCCTCGGGTGAGGATTAAAAAAAAGTATCAAGGACTAAAGAGCTTTTGCTTATGTAGGTTATAAATGATAGACATTTAGCCCTGGCCGGTTTGGCTCAGCGGTTAGAGCGTTGGCCTGGGGTCCGGAGAGACCCGGGTTCGGTTCCCGCTAAGGGCACGTACCTTGGTTGCAGTTTGTCCCCGGCCCTGGTTGGGTCGTGTGGGTGGCAACCACTCGATGTGTCGCTTTCAGGTCGATGTTTCTCTCTCTCTCTCTCTCCCTCTCACTCTATCTGAATAAAATATTGAAAAATGTCCTCGGGTGAGGATAAAAAAAAAAAAAACACGAAAAAAATAAATGATAGACATTTATCATACTAAACTTAAAACGGGAGAGTTTAAAACAGAAAACAGAATACACAAGCACATTCCATTAGCTGTGAGGGTGATGTAAATACACATCACATAGCTTCTGGAAAACTCCACAGTACAATTTTGAGAGAATGAGAGAAAAATATTCTCAGAGAGCTCTGGGACAGGGCCCGCACTTGGAGAACCTGAGCTCTAGAGGCCAAATCCATCCTTCTTGCCCTTGGCACATGCATTTCCCCCTAGAGCCACTGCTTACTTCTTCAACCCCACCTGGTATACCCTCCAGCCCTTTTCTCAAGGCTCACCACACAGAGGGCTATTCCTTTCCTCCTTTGTGCCCCCCCCCCCCCGCCCCAGTTCTGTTTCCTCTGCCTGGGACTTCCCTCGACTTCCCTGGGATCCAGACCAGGTCAGCCTTGTCTTCCCCTCAGACCCCTGCGTGTCCCCTTTGTGCCTGTCGTTCACCACTGTCGTGGGGTTTTTTTGGTGGTATGTGGGACTCTCTGGTCCGCAGGCCCACGCTCAACCGCTGAGCCAAACTGGCCAGGGCACTACTGTTGTATTTAAGTTGTTCAAGCCTGTCTCCGCTTTCAGACTCGCAGCTCCTGGAAGGCAAGAACCAGTCTGTCCCCTGCTGTATCCCTCGCCTTGGCCCAAGGCCGGGCGCCCACTGGAGGGCGCTTGGTATAGCGTTGTGATTTTTTTCATTCTAATTATTCAAAAACAGGTGTTGGGTTGCCCAGCTGGTGTGGCTCAGTGGTTGAGCAACGACCCATACACCAAGAGGTCGCCGGTTCGATTCCGGTTAGGACACATGCCCAGGTTGTGGGCCAAACCCCAGTGGGGGGCGTGCAGGAGGCAGCCAGTCGATATTCTCTCTCATCCATGTTTCTCTCTCTCCCTAATGTCAATAAAAGGAAATAATTTTTTAGAGAAAACAGGTCTTGGGTCGAATAACTGCTGGACGGAGGAGGCAGCGGCTGGACTTGGGAACCTCCGAGCGGCAGGGCGGAAGGGGTGGAATAAAGTGGCGCTCCGGTGCCAAAGGAATGCCTCTTCCATTCACCTCTGGTCCTTTCCGAATTAATCCGATCCCCCTGCGAAACAATTTGGGGCCGGGCGCCATTAATGGCTGACGGGACGCCCCGGAGCAGCAGGCTTTCCCGGGTGACCCAAGGAGCGGCAACCCCGGCCTCCAGCGCCGGAAGCGGCCGAGCGCCCACTCGAACCGGATGCGGCGGCTTCCTGCCCCGCCCCTAGCGGGAGGGCGGGCCGAGGGCTCCCGGGAAACCCCGGAGTGGACTGCGGCCGCTACGCGCGTGGGTGGAGCGGGGAGTGGAACCCCGCGGGGTGGGGTAGCTGGGTCCCCCAGTCCTAGAACGCATCCCGCGGGAAGTTAGTCTTAGGGGGCGAGGAGAATGTCAAATTCTGCTTCCGCCCTCCCCGGGGCTGGAGACTGGAAGCTGCACCGGTTCAGTGAGGGCGGCATGGGCTCCAGGATCCCCGAGTCGGAGTTGGGCGGGGGGGCGCGCAGAACAGCGGAGCTGGGGACCCGGGCTCCTGAGTCCCGGCCCCTGAGCGTCCAGCGCTCCCCTAGTCCGCGGCCCTGGCTCCTGTCCTCACTTCCTTCCCTTTTTGGCTCGGGCCCTCGGAGCGGGCGGACGTAGGGGGGAGCGGAAAGGGCGGGAGGGCCGGGAGCCTGGCGGGGGAGTATAGGGGGTGCCGGCTCGGTCGGGGAGCGTAGACCGACGGGAACAGCGGCCTGGGACCCGCGCTGCCCCCACCCCTCCCGAGCAGGTTAGAGCCAGAGCACCCTGTGACCCTGCCTGTTCCCGTACTCGTGACCCCTCATCCCCCAAATGCACCAGGGCTCTCCCATATTGCACCCCTCCGTTGCCCCCTCCCCAGCCTCCCTACAGGACTCCCTTCGGGTTACCTAGACACCCATCCGCGTCCCTCCTCGCTCCCCAGCACCCACCTGACTCTCCACCGGCCCCCCTCCCGTCTCTTCCCAGGCGCCCCCAATGGCCCGACCCCGCTGACTACTCGGCCATGCTCCCGCGGCCCCTACGGCTGCTCTGGGACACGAGTACCCCCGGGGGAGTGGTGCTGAGCAGCTTCCGGAGCCGAGACCCCGAAGAGGGTGGGGGCCCAAGTGGCCGGGGCGTGGGCGAGGGGCAGGAGGAGGAGGAGGAGGAGGAAGAAGACGAGGTGAGGTTCGGGTGGTGGGAGGTTGTGGGGGCTGTATTTCGGAGACCACCTTTCTCTCGATGTCTGTGTCCCTGAGTTTCTTCCTCCCTGCTTCAGTTACTTCGCTGCTCTTGCTGGTGTCTGCCTAGCCCCCCGCTGCGGGGCGCCCCGGCGTTTCTGTGGTTCTCTGTGGAAGTGTGACTCAGGGCCTGCCCGCAGGAACCTGTCCTGTTACTGCCAGGAGCGTCTGGCTGGCCGTCCTGCCGTCCCTGCCCCTCTCCGCCTGTGCCTGTGTGTGCCGGCCTCTTTGGGCATTGTATCTTGGTCCCCGTCTCCCTCCTTGTATTTGTTTGGCGGGGAGGGGTTTGTTTCCACAGTAACCGGCTACTCGGACTCTGGGATTGGGGAGGGAGCCCTTCGATTTCGTGACCCCTCCCCCTCTCCCGCCTGGCGCAGGGTGGAGGCGGGAAACCAAGGTTCTTGGATCTTGGAAGGACCATCGTAGGCTGAGCTGGGAATAGTCACCTGCTTTCCTCTGGGACTAATAGTGGTGGCTAGGAGCAGCATTTGGGGCCTCAGGAGGGGCCAGAAGTTGGATTTGGGGCCCCGAGGCTCTGAACTCCAGGGTCCAGGTGCTGGGTGAGGGCAGAGTGACTGGCAGGGCTGGTTTTTCGGGATCGGTTGGGGGAGGGGCTGGAGCCACGTGACTCTCAGAGTCTACTGCCCCCCTCCCCCACTCCCCATCATCCCCACTTCCCCTTCTCCTTCCTGTATTGGGATAGGAGCCGCCACCTTGAGGGAGGGGGCTCTAGGGACCAGGGACCAGGGGAGAGAGGGCTGAGGGGAAATACTAACTCTTAGGGCTTGGCCAGTTCCTTGGGGGAGGGCGGAGCACACGGCTGTGCCTGTGACTGAGGTTTTAGCTTCTAAAGGTCTCTGCCTCTGGCTTTCTGTCTCTCTCGGTTCCCACTCCTACCCTTTTTACCTTGCTTCTCTGCTGGGTTGGGGTTCAGCTCTGGGGGAAAGGGGCTACGGTGGTCTCCAGGATCAGGGTTCCTTCATTCCACCTGCTCCCCCACTACAACCCCCTCGACCTCACGAGGCCCTGAGGCGGTTTGGGTGGGGCTGTCTGGGCCCCAGTGGGGCAGACCTGGGGTCACCAGCCCCCCCAACCCCTCGTACTCGCTGGTACTGTCCCCCTCCGCCACAGGTGAGGGGTACAGAGGGAGTAGATCCTGGGGGGCTAGGGCTGAGTGGGGGGGGTTGTGGGTCTGTCTGACCTCCCCTTCCTTACTCTTGCAGGCCCCTGTTTCTGTCTGGCATGAGGAGGAGGATGGTGCCACCTTTACTGTCACAAGCCGCCAGTATCGGTCTCTTGATCCCTTGGTGAGATCATAACTTTGGCTTCTCACCTCTGACCCATTACCCCTAGAATGACCACCTTTCTGGCCAGAGTGCTAGGTTGGAGGTCTGGAGACCTGGACTCTGCTGTGTGACTGGTCAATCTTCTGTCTTCTCTTAATTGTAATACAGTGAGCCTGCGTTGTCTCCTAGGTCTGGGGATTTCCCCAGAAATCTAGGGGCAGAGTTGAAGAAAGGGGCAGCGACTCTCCCTCTTTCTCTCCCAGGCTCCCACGCCTCCCCCGCGTTCCTCTCGAAGGCTCCGAGCTGGCACTCTGGAGGCCCTGGTCAGACACCTGCTGGATGTCCGCACATCAGGGGCTGACCTGACCTTCACAGCAACCTTCCTGGCCACCCACCGGGCCTTCACCTCCACGCCCACTCTGCTAGGGCTTATTGCCGACAGGTCAGGGTGGTAAGGGACCAAGGGTCACAGAGGTGTCTGGACTTTCTAAAACCAGAATATCCTATCAAAACAGTCAAAGCCACTGGGGGTTTGGGAAAAATTGACAGACAGAATCTCTTCCCCTCCCCAGGTTGGAAGCCCTTGAATCTCATCCTACTGATGAACTAGAGAGGACAAAAGGGTGAGTGACCCCTGATTCTTAACTTCACAGTCCCCTCTGCCCAAGCTGCAGTGTGACATCTGACCCCTGGCTGGTTCCCCCTCTCCCAGGGTAGCCATCTCTGTGCTGTCAACCTGGCTGGCCTCTCACCCTGAGGATTTTGGCTCTGAGGTCAAGGGTCAGCTTGACCGGCTTGAGAGTTTCTTGCTTCGGACAGGGTATGCAGCAGGGGAGGGTGTTGGGGGGGGCAGCGCTGACCTCATCCGCAACCTCAGGTCCCGGGTGGAACCCCAGGCCCCCGACCTTCCTAAGCCCCTGGCCCTCCCCGGCGACCCCCCTGC